TAGAATCTTTCCATGTCTATACACTGTGGGCCAGAAAACTATGATCTTTGGCCGAAAGTAAAAAAATTAATTTTTCCACTAAAGTATGTGTTGCCAGTTTTAATATATCCCAAATTTAGTATTCATAATCATTCCAAACACTATAATTTACTTTTTGGACCGACGAGAGTACAATGTAATGAAAAATAAGTTTAAAATAATTTTTTTAATGTAACTTTCAGATTTTTATTTCAGAAATATATATAGGAATTTGACCTTTCTGTTACATTTTTATCAGAGTAATTAGTCTGAAATTATAGTACAATTTTTCAATGTGTTGGATTAGTTAATACTCTTGACAGATTTATAGTTTATATCTTATCATTTGACATTTTACAATGTTTGAATGACTTTCGAAACTTATTCCCAAACAGTTCCATGAGGTAATTAGTTAAAAAAAATTTTTTTGTCTTCTTAGATGTTTCTTCTTTCGAAAAAACCTGCCTCATGTTGCCCATATTGCAAAGGTGGACTCAATATACCGAAAAACAAAAATTAGGTTTTTTTTATTCATGTTTTCGCGTTATTTTGTAATATTACTTCGGAAATATAATTTGCCTTTCATTTTTAATATAAAATTACGAAAATTATTATATTTTCATTGATATATTTTATTATTTAAACATACTATATTATTTTTTTATTTTTGCTCGCCATATTTCAGCCGCTATTTTGTTATTTTGGGTATTTTTAGTCTATTTCAAAATTTCAACTTTGAATTCAATTTACCTGCACATAGAAACCCCTAAATAAAACTCTTCAAATTTTGAAACAAATTTTATCGAAATACTAATTTTGGCCACGAAACCTTGGATTCTGGCCCACTGTGCTATGTTTCAAATAGGCTCGTGAAATAGCAAAGATATATATTGAAAAATGCAAGATGAGTATGATGGGAAAAAATCTCCATTATTAATCGTTTATCTTCTGGGAAAATAAATCACGTGACCTTTAATCTGAGTAAAAACGAAATATTGAATTTGACGAAATTTTTAATACAATGCATTGAAATTTAACTTTTTTTTAAAAATTTATTACACATATACATAAACTTATTTTTTTTTTTGGGCTATAATACACAAAATGTTCGAATCCGCTGATTTTGGAGCTCTCATTTGTCGCTACCTTTTGATCTTAAATTCTGGCAACACTGTGCTGAAGTTGGGTTTAGAAAAAGAAAAAAATGAGTTGATTTAATTGAGATTAGTTTGGAAAAAATAACATAAAAATTTACAACTTTATTTCACTTTTTTAAAAAAATATGTTAATTATTCCCTGGTTGAATGATAAGTTTTTAAGTAATTAATGGCTAATATTTTGTTTTGCCTACATATATAGATATTTTATTGCATAGATGTATAAAAGATTGCAACCTTTTAATTGCTCAAAGACGTTCAAAGGTAAGATTTTGACACACTTGTCTGAGAATTCAAAAAAAAGAGAAGAAAAAAAGAGAGAGAGAGCATTTTTTTACTTGGAATGTTTAAAAAGAAAAACCTCCACAAAACTTGGATAAGGTAGATAAGATAAAAATTAAGATACGAGAAGCTTTTTGTGTAAGTATTCATACTTACATATTTTGAAAGATAATAAACGTCACAAAGAGGCTAGGAGTGTACAAATCTTTAAAATTTCAATTTTTTCATCTAATTTAAATAAACTAAACTCATCAACCTATTTGGTTGCTTCTTATTACTTTTTATTCAGCACAATCTTTTAGAATGAATTTGCAGAAGATAAATTACAACAGTCGATAAATAATCATTAATTAAAGCAAGAAAGAAAAAAACGTGAAAGAAGCATTTAAAACTGTAATACTTTCGAATAAATATGAACTTCACAAAAAAATGTTTATTTCTTTATGAATGTGCCCCTTTGTGCAAGTTAAATTTTAACTCTGCTGTTGTATTTTGGTGGGTTGTAGATCGTCTCGAGTAGTATTTTTTACTACAAGTTTAACAGTTAATAATTCTCGAACTAATATTCAAAAATTATTTTTTTTCCAAATTGATCTTTTATTCGAAAATCAGACAATGGTGATTATACCAATCAGTTTTATTTAACTTTTTTAGCCAAGCTATTTTTTTTTTATAAAAATTTTTCTTTCCTGAGTATTTAGACCCTGAATTTAAAACTTAACTGATCAAATGTTGATATATAGCCATAGAATTTTTACATTTAATGCTTTTAGCTGCTGTTGGTGACTAACCATTAAAAATTTGGATTACTTTTAATAAATTTTACGATGTTTTCATTTGAAGAATAATAATATGTATATTTAGAATCGAATGTTTGTGCTCAAAAAAGATATTAAGAATAATAATTATTATTGATATTTGGCAACAAAAAGTTCAAGAAAAGGAGTTTGAATAATTTTAAAAATTTCTTCAAATTGAATTTTCGTTTATTTTATTTACGTCTTTAAAACCCTGGTCTCAGGTTGGTTATAATGCAAAATATAGCTTTTTCTTCTCAGGGTATGTCAGAACTCCTATTCTAGGTTTAAAATTGAATAATTCTAGTAAGCGTGCAGAATTTGAAAATTAGGAATTTCATATAATTCTTTTTATAAAAAAGTGAGATTTCTGAGATTTTGAACAAATAGCCTTCAAAGAAAAGAACTCTTCTATAATAATTTGCATAATCCTTTATCATCTGAGCGATAAATTCACTTTATTCTGATTTTATAAGCGGAATATTAATTTTATTGCGACCGAGAGGAAAAGGAACCGAATGCGTAACTCAAAAGAGTGGCAGTTTACGATGCTGCGACAAGAAGAGATAATGCGTGCGTAATCGACTTGGGTTTTATAATATTCCAGATTTATCCCAGCTTTCGTTCGTAAACATCGCTCAACCTCTGTCTCTTCAGTTTATACCGAACTATTTAAATGTCACGAGTTAAGTTACGACTGATTTTTTAAAGCTCGGAACGGTTGTAAATCACGTCACCAAATCCTGATCTCAATTCAAAATGTTCACTCTTCTTCTTCTTCAGCATTTCAAATGAAAGATTATGATTGTAAATAACAAAAATATACGTTGGAAATATCTACGTTTTATTCGCAACAACAACACTGTATTGTGTTTTGGGGAAGAATTAAATATTGATTAAAAGCTTTGATGACAGTTTTCGTTTTGTCGTGATTGTATTCCACAGTTAGTTTTTTACTGAGCTCTTCCTAAATATATGAATGGTTGATTGAAACAATGATCTGTCACGTGATTATTGATTTGAAATCTGGAAGCGTGAGAACTGGAGATGAAGAATTGAAACTTACCAATTAAACATGATGAAAAGCCCAGACGAAGATAAACAAAAATTAAGAGTTGAAACAAAGTGAAATAATTGCTTGCGATTTAAAAACGTGTCTTAATAAATTAGATTAATCTCTCTCACTGCGTAATTTTTTAATTTTTTCAGCAAAATAGGTTCGAAAATTGCGTAATTTTTTTTTATTGCAGATTTTAATTCTTTACATATTTTAGAGTTTAAATGTAAAATTTTTTTGCAAAGAGTTTTTTTTCCTTCCTAATGCTTAGCATTTTAAAAAGTGAATGGTGCTTATGTTCTATTTTCGTTTTTTAAAAGCCCTTAAAGGTGCTTTTTCTAGTGGGTATTTTTAAAAAGTGTGGTTCATTAGTGGGGTTAGTTTTACTTTTTCGAAACTGAGATTTTTTCTTAACCATGTCGATTTTCATGACTTATTATGCAAAGGCGTGGTTTTCACATTGTTCTATTCAACTTTTTCACAATCCATTTCGGCATACCGTCGCTCCATAGCGTATTAAAGCGCCCATCGTTTCACAGGTTTGATGAATTACCCGCTGGTACGCATGTGCCTCTACTGAGCTGGGTTCAGTGAGATTCTTGCACTCTCATGTGCAACTGTGCTGCATTTTGCGAGATATTCTCAATTTCTGGCGACATTTTCCACCCTCTGAAATTGAACCGAAAAATTTATCGATATTTTTGTGGTGGTTAATATAATTAAGAAAAGAGTTCTCTGTCAGAAACTAGTTTTTTTTATTATGACCATGTAAAGTTTCTGTTAAATTATTTTGCATTTTGAAAATGTATTTGGCGCTTATGTATATTTTCCAATAATTAAAAAGTACTTAAAAGGTGCTTATTTTGTTTTGAAAGATTTGGCTACGCACCCTGACAGAATTCAATCATTAAAAAGAGGTTATTGGAAAATTCAAATCTAAGAATAATCATATAAAAATAAAACTTTGAAAATTAATCCTAGTTTAATTATGACTTATTCCGTGAAATTTAAAAGTAAAACGTATATGCAAATGAAAATATGCTCAAGTTTTTGTTAAAAAAAAATATTCATCGCCATCTTCCGAGAGATTTTCATTAATTTCATCAATTTCAACTATCTTCAATATACTTGAAATCAGAGTCAAATCTGCTATCATTGTCGCAAATATTATCAGATGTTGTTGTTGCAGGTCATTAAGTCAATGGATGCGATTGTTCTTGTTTTCCAGTGGTGGCATCTATGTCCAAGAGTTCGACTTCTGCCACACCCATACGTCACACCTGTTCATACATCCATTTAATCATCCTAAGATCGTAATTTTGACCTGAACCAGTAAACGATCGATCTCCAATTAAGTACTCCCAGAGGTATAATTTGTTTCGGGAACATGGAGGACTTTATGACCCGACAGATTTGACTTGCACTAGTCACCATTTACTACATGGGGAGTCCGGCCATAATTTTTTTAAATTAATTATAATGAAACGGCTTATGGGAATTATCACCTTGTAGTAAGAATTTCCCTTTTTAAAAACATTTTTTGCGTAACTCTACCTTTTTGTTTTCAGAATCGTGTGATATTAACTTTTTTTTAATAAAAAGCTTAGATTCTTTGTAAGCTTATATATACCTTGTAAAACATTTATTTTTTCTAATGTTCTTTGTAAAGACAGTAGATTTGTATTTTAGGTGAAACCTATGATGCCGGAAAATGCGCTGTTTCCTGATATCTTACCTATAAGATAACACTTCAGGAACTGTGAGACACCACTTTTTACTTTCCTTTCTTGTAAGTATTTTATTCTTATAATAATTCCAAATGCATCTTATAATAAGTCCCGCAGTGGACTGATCGTTAAATGACGGTTCTCAGTAGAGCACCGATGTCAAGCATCACTGGCTGCGGTCAGTAAGCGGGAGGGTGCCCACTTGGATCACCCTGCCTAGGAACTGAAGATGCGAGGTATGGGTTCTCCTTAAACTGTTCTACCGTAAAGTGCTCGACTTCGCTTGCTGGTTGACGGGCTATCGAAGCGGGGTCGCCATCCCCTCTGCAGAGGATCAAAATTGTGATGGCATGTCTTCGGATCATCGCTCAGGGATGTTTCCCAGACCGTCGCCAATAGCCCATTGTGCAACCTTAGTGCGAGATAAATAAACCACAACATTTACTATACGCAATCAATTTATTTTGATATGTTGGTATGTGCTTTATTTACGTCGCACTATGGGTTATTAGCGACGGTCGGGGAAACATCCCTTAGGATGATCCGAAGACATGAAATCGCAATTTTGATCCCTGGCAGAGGGGATTGCTCCGCTGCTTTGGTAGCCCGACTACCTTGCGCGCAACTGTAGAACAGTTGATGACTGATACCGCTCACAATCAGTCCCTAGGCAGACTGATCAAAGTGGTCACCCACCCGCTCACTGACAGCAGCCAGTGATGCTTGACTTCAGTGCTCTACTGGGAACCGTGTCCTTACGGGATTAATTTATTTCGAAGAACTTTTCTTTCGCCGAAGTTTGTTTTTATGAATAACATATTTTCATTTATCATAAAGAGTTTTGTTTTTTTTGAAAGTGTTCCAACTATGAAATATTTCGATGCTGAAAATGGAGCTTGGAAAGAAGTGGTCCCAGAAGACAACCATCGAGAGGTGGACGAGATATCTATGTCCTCCACTTCCATGGCTGGAGATCAAAAGTAATATTTTTATTTTGAAACCTAGATTTCAGTTCGTGACACATAGATTTCAGTTAAACATGGATTTCAGTTCGTGACACATAGATTTCAGTTCGTGACACATAGATTTCAGTTCGTGACACATAGATTTCATTTAAACATGGATTTCAGTTCGTGACACATAGATTTCAATTAAACATGGATTTCAGTTCGCGACTCATAGATTTCATTTAAACATAGATTTCAGTTCGTCACACATAGATTTCATTTAGACATAGATTTCAGTTCGTGACACATAGATTTCAGTTAAACAAGGATTTCAGTTAAACATAGATTTCAGTTAAACATAGATTTCAGTTCGCGACACATAGGTTTCAGTTCGTGACACATAGATTTCATTTAAACATGGATTTCATTTCGTGACTCATAGATTTCAGTTCGTGACACATAGATTTCATTTAAACATAGATTTCAGTTCGTGACACATAGATTTCAGTTCGTGACACATAGATTTCAGTTAAATATAGATTTCAGTTCGTGACACATAGATTTCATTTAAACATAGATTTCAATTCGCGACACATAGATTTCAGTTCGTGACACATTTTGAATAAAATCTTACATACATGGGATTCATATGCTTTGGTAATCAAAACAGAAGTTCGGAGGATGTCAGTATGTATGTTACCGCGAATGATCGAAATCAAAAGAATGTCGACTTTCACCGGTGAATGTCAATAATCACATAGTCGCTTTGGTGAATGTCTGAAATATTTGTTACATCCGATATTATTAAATTTATTCGATAATTTAATATCTGTTGAGGATTAGGAGAAACATTAGTGTTCGGAGTACCAATTAGATACATACATGGAGCTTAAAAAACACTGATGTAGGATATAACGGGACACTTGAGCTTAAAAACGGGCTAATCTATACCAGGCAGTGGCACTGAACCCCAAAGCATCAGTGTAGGGTATACCGGGCAGTGTCGCATAACTTTAATTAGTACGTATTTCGGACATTCACCAAAAAGACTCTGTGATTATAACCGTCAACGACCCATTTTTTTGGTTTTATGTATACTATTAATGTTCAAATGTGTAACCTTAAAATTTTGAAGACAAGGGAATACCTAGATCAAATATTGGGAGAAATCTGCTATCGTGGAGGACTTTTTGATGGAACTAACCCCCATTTGCGTTACATGGAGAGAAAAACCAAAAACTACGTAAACCTCCCACAGTTAGTCTGACCACAAAGGGACTCTAGCCCATGTAGGGTATACCGGGCAAATAATTACCGGGCAGTCGCACTGAACCTTGAAAAAATATAGATATAGGGCATACTGGGCAGTGACACTTAACTAGATCTAGCATATATTTGGGGCATTTGCCGAAGTGATTATGTCATTGTAAGCATTCTCCGGTGGAAGTCAACAACCAACGATTTTGGTCATTCACAGTAACATATACATTTATGACATTGTTACTAGAAAAACGCATACATTTCTATATTATTAAATTTTTCGCTTTCTTTCACTGGCATTCTGTTAAAAAAATTCATAAAAATAACTGTAATATTAAAGAAATCAGTAAGTTCCTAACTCTTTAATCCTTCAACGCAACTTCCGCCGCTGAGCATCTTTTGAGAACGACTGATCACGACAAAATTATAACCACTATAAAAATATAACCTCTATAAATATAACTACTTGTCCTGTTACAAAACGCATGCTCTTAATTCTGAACTGCAATCATGATGTCGCTAAGAGTTAGCAGTATTGTTTACTCTTAACTTCAATTTTACCTTAATCGACAATTAAATCTTCGCTATAATACGCATTCACTCCATGGTGGTTCAGGGGTAGAGCGTTCGCTTTCCAATGAGGTGAACCGGGTTCGAATTCCAGCTAATCGATACGAATTCCGCATCCGGCTTGCACCGACCACAGTGCTGACGTAAAATATCCTCAGTAGCAGGCAGATCATGGTTTAGAGTACCCTTTCCATCAGGCTAACCGCGAGAGTTTTCCGTGGTTTTCCTCTATATGTAACGCAATTGCGGCTTAGTTCTTTAAAAAAATCCTCCACGAAGGCGAAATTTCTCCCAATATTTGATCCAGGAGTTTCCTTGTCTTCTGGATTGGATTCAAAATTACGAGACAGTGGAACATTAGTTATAGTAAACCCAAAATCGGGTCAGCTGTTCAACGACGGTTATAAAATAAAATAAAAAGAAATATATCGCGCATTCGGTACATTTTTGCTTTTCTTCAAACAAGCTGTTGTCTTTTCAGCAACCACCGAGGTTTACATCGCAGTCGCCACTCTCTGAAGAGTGTTGGGACAGATGGCGGGACAGGATCGGGTATTGTCCGTCTGACGAGGGGACTGTCTACCCGGCAGAGGAAGAGGGTGGTTCTCAAAAATGGGACAGTCAATCTTTCTAAAGAGCATGTCAGCAAGAGGAGGCAGAGATTTCTTCAGGACATATTCACAACTATGGTGGATATACAGTGGAGATACAACTTAATGGTGAATAAAATATACTTAGTTTTTTGTTTTGTTTTTGCTTCATAGCCTGTGGCCTCAACTAATTTTAAAGAGCAACTATTCTAAGGAACATTTTCTCTGAATATGGCAGTTTTTTTTTTGCATTAGATAACTTTAAATCCTTGCTTCTTATCAGATGGTAATGATTTTCGTGTTTATCTTGTGATTGGTCAGCAAATAATGAATATTTTTTGAGTTCATTGTTTGACGCCTCTTATAGTTGAACAGAAACAAACGGTCAAAAAATTACAAACGCCTGGAATTCTCGTAATAGTTATGGTAGCCGGTCAGTTTTCACTACCCGGTTACTACCCAAATTATTTTGCCGGATCCGGCAAAATGACTTGGGGATATTTCCGTATCGTGATCTGTCACGCCAATTGCAATCGCCAAGATGCCAAATAGATTTTAAACTTGTAAAGTTTTAAAAAGTTTCGAGTTGGTCCCTTTCTGTGATGTTCTTTTTTCTTTTCCTTTTTTTAGTTTTAGTTTCTCGCTGGCCGTTGCCCGGATGTTGCCAAAACTTGACGATTATTCTGCTACAGATCACGATACGGAAATCTTCCAAATAATTTTACAAACGAATAGTACTACTAACTAATAAACTAATAGTAGGAATGGGAAAAAGAGGCGCGGGGAGTCAGACAACTATAAAAGCATTGTTGTTATTGTTGTTGTTGTTAATTTACGTCGCACTAGAGCTGCACAATGGGCTATTGGCGACGGTCTGGGAAGCATCCCGGAGGATGATCCGAAGACATGCCATCACAATTTTGATCCTCTGCGGAGGGGATGGCACCCCCGCTTCGGGAACCCGACGACCTGCGCACGAAATCGAGCACTTTACGGTAGCACAGTTTAACGAGGCCCCATGCCGCACACCCTCGGTCCCAACGCAGACTGTTCCAAGTGGTCACCCACCCGCACACTGACCGCAACCAGTGATGCTTGACTTCGGTGATCTGGCTGGGAACCGTGTCTTAACGATCAGTCCACTGCGGGACGTAAATGTATAAATTGGGTGACGTGGACTACACGTGATACCACGTAACGTTCTTTATTAAATTTTTCTGACACTGCGAATATAAAATAATTAAATACTTAAATTTGCGCAATAATCAAATTTTTGTTCAAATAGAGCTATAGGTCTTTAAAATATGTGAAAAACTGAATCTCTTATAGTAAAATTTAAAACAAAGACTAACGCTTCACCCATCAGAAAATTCCATTTTGTTTTTCGCTCATTCCCTATTTAATGAATGAATTCATATTTGCAGAAAAAAAAACTGCATTCACATCAAGTGTGATCCACTACAAGTTTTAATAAAAATGTATTTGTACTTGAGTGGAGATGAATAAAAAGTATTTTATTAATAGATATAGGAAAAGTGAGAAATAATAGTAGAAATTCAAATAAATATTTCAGGTATTTGCTATGGGCTTTCTACTCAGTTGGCTGGGATTCGCTCTTATCTGGTGGCTAATCTGTCTTTCACATGGTGATTTTGACCATTTCGGCGAAGAGGACTGGACACCCTGCGTGTCGGAAGTTCACGATTTCGCTACAGCATTTCTGTTTTCAGTGGAAACTCAGCACACCATTGGTATGTACCACAAATAACCTTTTTTTTTAACAAAATATACTTTTAATAATTTTTATTAAGTATGCATTTTGTGTTTTTTGGGGGGGTTGACAGGTTATGGATCTCGATGTACCAGCGAGGAGTGCCCCGAAGCTATCTTCATCATGTGTGTACAGTCCATTACGGGAGTCATGATCCAGTGCTTCATGGCTGGGATCGTCTTCGCCAAACTATCGCGTCCCAAGAATAGATCCCAGACACTCATGTTCAGCCGTTACGCTTGCGTCTGTCTTCGAGACGGAAAACTGTGTTTCATGTTCCGAGTAGGAGACATGCGCAAGTCTCACATCATAGGAGCCACCATCAGTGCTTTGGTCATTCGAAGGAAAACAACAGCTGAAGGAGAAGTAAGTCAATTCATTTTTATAGTTTGGAATGTCTTTCGTGCGAAAAAGAATCTTCACATTTGTAATTTTTCTTTTGTCGTATGCCTGTTTAGGCAGTGGGGGTGCTATTGTTCCTGTTTTTCAGTGGCGCCATCTATGGCCAGGACTTTGACTTCTGCCACGCCATTCACACAACCACAACCCGTTTATAGGGCGGGTTACATTCACACACAAAGGAGAAAGGACATAGAACACACTCAGAGAGAAACAAACATCCATGCCTTGCCCGGGATTCGAGCCCAGGACCTTTCTGATGCAAGGACAGTTCCCTGCCCCCTACACAGGCCGATCGGCGCATTTGTTATTGGATACAATGATAGATTTGATTTTATAACCGTCGTTGAACAGCCGACCCAATTTTTAATTTTTGGGTTTTACGGCAGCTGAGATGAACTTTAAATAAATCATAAAAATTAAATAATAGAAAAATTAAGCTGAAAATCATAAGAATTAAAGAAACAAATACAATGTGGGAAAAACGAAACAATAACAACTTAGCACAACGAAGTCAATTTCAAAATCTTACCGAAGTTTATTTTTCTTTTTTTTTTAATTGATTAAAAGAGCATGATTTATATACATAATAATAAGATTCTATTTTCCATTGAATAGTAAATGAGTTATTGACCTTTCATAGGCCATATTGCCAAATATAACATTACTCATCTACGAACCATAGCGAATGCGAACTAACTGAAAAGGAAAAACAGGAATGATAACAAAATCTTTCTTGATTAGCAACATCCTGTGGCACCATCTGTTATGAAACAAAAGTAGAAACAGCTACTAATGTTTAACTCCGTAATCTTGTAATTTCAACTCAATCCAGAAGACAAGGGAATTTCTGGATCAAGCATTGGGAAAAAATCGTCTCCGTGGATGTCTTTTCGATGAAACTAACCAGCATTTGCATTACATGGAGAGGAAAACCACGAAGAACTCCAACGTTTATCCAAATCCATGATCCGTCTACCACTGAGGATATTTTACGTCAGCACTGTGGTCGGTGCAAGCCGGAAGCGCAATTCGTATCAACTAGTAATCGCTGGGATTCAAACTTGGGTCATCTCATTGGAGAGCAAATGCTCTATTCCCAGAGCCATCACGGCATTTTTGCAATACACTTTTCTCCTCTGCAAATTGTTCATTGCATTCCCGTTAATGATACTTTTTGGAGCTGTGGTGGCTCAGGGGATAGAGCATTCGCCTTCGAATGAGGTGAACCGAGTTCGAGTCCCAGCGATGATTGGTCGACACGAATTCCGTACCGATCACAGTGCTGGCGAAAANAATGTGGGAAAACGAATCAATAACAACTTAGAACAACGAAGTAAATTTCAAAATCTTACCGAAGTTTATTTTTCTTTTTTTTAATTGATTATAAGAGCATGATTTATATACATAGCAATAAGATTCTATTTTCCATTGAATAGTAAATGAGTTATTGACCTTTCATAGGCCATATTGCCAAATATAACATTACTCATCTACGAACCATGGCGAATGCGAACTAACTGAAAAGGAAAAACAGGAATGATAACAAAATCTTTCTTGAGTAGCAACATCCTGTGGCACCATCTGTTACGAAAAAAAGTCGAAACAGCTACTAATGTTTAACTCCGTAATCTTGTAATTTCCAAAAGACAAGGGAATTTCTGGATCAAGTATTGGGAAAAATTCGTCTCCGTGGATGTCTTTTCGATGAAACTAACCAGCATTTGCATTACATGGAGAGGAAAACCACGAAGAACTCCAACGTTTATCCAAATCCATGATCCGTCTACCACTGAGGATATTTTACGACAGCACTGTGGTCGGTGCAAGCCGGAAGCGCAATTCGTATCAACTAGTAATTGCTGGGATTCGAACTTGGGTCATCTCATTGGAATGCAAATGCTCTATCCCCAGAGCCATCACGGCATTTTTGCAATACACTTTTCTCCTCTGCAAATAGTTCATTGCATTCCCGTTAATGATACTTTTTGGAGCTGTGGTGGCTCAGGGGATAGAGCATTCGCCTTCGAATGAGGTGAACCGAGTTCGAGTCCCAGCGATGATTGGTCGACACGAATTCCGTACCGATCACAGTGCTGGCGAAAAATACCCGCAGGCTAATCGTGGAGGATTTACTATATTTTCCTCTCCGTGTCACGCAAATGCGAGTTAGTTCCTCCATCAAAAAGTCCTCCACGAAGGCAAATATCAAAAAGTTTTTTCGTCTTCTCAAATGGGTTCAAAATTACAAGGCTACGGAGTTAAACATTATTAATCACAAACCCAAAATTGGGTCGGCTGTTCAACGACAGTTATAAAATACGATTTTCATTCACACTGTTTTGATCTACAGGTAATTCCTTATTATCACACAATTTTGGACGTCCGTTTTGACAATGGAGGTGACTCCGTCTTCTTGATTTGGCCGGCAACCATTGTCCACGAGATCAACGAAGAAAGTCCATTTTTCCTTAAGTCTGCAGAAGACATGTTAAGAGAGAGATATGAGGTAGTGGTCATCCTCGAAGGTACGATTGAATCTACTGGACAATCAATCCAAGCGAGGTCCTCTTATATTGCAACAGAAATTCTATGGGGACATCGCTTTGACCAGGTAAAATAAGTGTGCACACTTGATTAAAATAAAGCTAATGTCTATAGAGCTTATGTATTTGTCTTGATCAAAGATATTTGTCTTGAAGTCGAAGCCCAGATAGCAAAATAAGGTTTATTTTCACTCAGCAAAAACCTTTCATTGTAAACCTAAATAGGTTTGTAATGCGGTTTACGTGTAAATATTTTAACCTTAAAACGAGATCTGTGACTATCTGATCTAATCTACGCACATTACCCTCATCCTAAACCTTGAAAAACAACCTTCTTTATAAAAACCTTAAATCGAAATTGACTTAAGGTTTTCAAGCAATAAGGTTAGTGACAGGTTTAAGGTTAGTGACAATAAAAAGAGAATTCCGACACAGTTGCAGAAAGCTTACAAGCTTTCTGAGAAAATATTTTATTTATAAGTATTTTTATAGGATGGTTAAAATTCAAATTATGGTCAAAGGCTTCTAGCTCTTGTTCCATAGAACGGATCCGAATAACGTTTCAAATGTATGTTATTTAGATAGGTTTTGTTCGGCAAAAAAATAGTTTTGTACTTTGCCAGTAGATGGCATTTTATTGCTAACACCACATGCTAATGATGTAACTAAATGCAATGCGTATTGTTAAACGACGCTTTACGCAAAAAGAGCACGTTAGTCGTTAGTCTAAGACGCCATAAGATGGAAATAGTTTGATCTGAAAAAACAAACATTCGAAGTTTCATTCGGATTATTTTAGTAGAAGTGAATTCACATTATTTTGCAAATTTCTAAAGCTGTAACAGAAAAAATATTATTTATAAACCGTAAAATGAGATGTAAGAGAATTTTTTAGCCGTTTTCAGAATAGGTTGTAACACATCTACTATTTCTCGCGTTGATCTAAAAAATTTGTCATTTGTTGGGCACATATTTAAAATCGATTAGTAATTTAATTTGATTTTAATCGATAAGGTATTTTAACATTCAGACTTGATAGATAATCCAAACAGTGTTGTTTATTTTATAAATCATGAAGTGTTAATGACGAGTAAAGATGCAGGTAATTGGTTTCTTGCTGATTTCAACGTTTCCTTATATATAACAGCTGCATAATTAATAATAATTATGCATAACAGTAGTATATTTGTATAAAATTTATTTTAATTCTTTTGCTATTTTGTTGTCTTCCTCAACACTGTTGTTGTTGTAGGCCATGCGATTTTTCTTGTTTTTTCCAGTGGTGCCATCTGTGGCCAAAAATTCGACTTCTGCCACACACACACACGTCACACCCGTTTATAGAGCGGAACCATTCGTACATCCATTCCACACATAAAGTAATTTTGACCTGAACCAGAAAATGATCCATCTCCAAATCAGTACCCCCAGAGGTATAATTTGTTATAGGAACATGGAGGACTTTGCGACCCGACAGATTTGACGTGCACGCATTTTTCAAAAAGCTTAAAAAAATGTTTCTTCCTTAATTGCTTAAATTAATTTACTCAGTAATACTCATTTTTTGCATCAGTTGTGAACTTGAATCAAAAAGGGTTGTTGAACTTTAATTTATTTTTTTCTCCAAAAGGTTGTAAGCTTTCGAAAGGAAACTGGCGAATACCTGGTGGATTACAGCAAATTCAATGCGACCAACGAAGTTCAAACTCCACTATGCAGTGCCCGTGATTTCGTGGAATACCAAAAGATGCTAAGCGAAGTGGCCAAAAACCCTTCCCTCATCCTCCAAAGGAGTAACTCCACACCTGCTGGGAGGGTCAGTGTTCCAGAGCCAACACCTGACATGCCACTCCTAGAAGAGGACATCAACTCATAACAAGTGAGATATCTTTCAAGAGATTGCCATTTGAATAGATTGCAAAATCATAATGCTCAAGTGAGAGTGGATTTTCGCACTATCGCTTTTTCATTGGCCTCATAATTTTCACTGCTCCGCTATTTTTTGTAGTACAAAAAAAATGGACAATCTTTTTACCACGGATATAACTTTTGATCTAATGAACTTCACGCTCAATCTTAATGGTTCAAGGAAATTACCACAAACATGCTAATTATTTAGAAGTGTAAATGATATTTTAAGTTACAAAAGCGTACTTCTTTAATTAGTTGGCCAGGTAGTTGGCCGAGTAGTCAGCGTGCCCGACTGTGCAGGCAGTGGCTGTTGGTTCGAATCCGGCTCACGGCATGGATGTTTCCCTCTCTGTGTGTTATTTTTCTTTCTCTAATGGCAGGTACTGATCTTTTACTACGTCCTTCACCCCGGAAGATGCCGGAAAAGTTGCTCATTGTATGTTACCCACTGGGCACCTGTAAACCTAAGTCACGGAGGTGAGTAACATTACCTACGCCACTCTGCCCACAGATACCCTTTCATAGCGTGGGTATCTGTGGACAACACAGAGGGAAACGTCCATGCCCAGAGCGGGAGTCGAACCCGCAGCCATTGGCTTTGCAGTCAGGCACGCTACCAAGCTCGGCCACCTTGGCCGGCTCTGTTGTGTGAAAGTGGCCCACCCTATAAATGGGTATCTGCGGGCAGTGTGGCGTAGGTAATGTTACTCGCCTCTGACCCACTGGGGAACATTAAAGGAGCAACACTTTTGAGGTGAAAAACGAAAGTTCAATGCCTGCCGTTAAAAAAAAAAAATTAATATTTTTTTTTTTTTTTTTTGACGAGTTTGGATTTCTGCCCCTCAAAATATGGGGGGGGGGGTGATATCCAGTTATCAGGGAAATATGGTTCCAATAGTTTGGTCAGGACAGCAGTCTAAAGTTTGAACCCATTAACGTTAATTTTACTCTTTGCTCATTTCGTTATATCTCAAGCTATACGGAGCTATATCGGAAGCTATCTAAAAAAGAACAATTGCTATCAATATTTAGCCACAAAAATTTTAGTATTAAAGTTTAATAAATCTAAACATCTTGAAATTGAAATGCAGTTTGGACTAATAAGAGTATTTTTTTTTCTTTATTTTTAGAATTTACACTGTCACTATAATTTAGCCTTTTTTTTTAGGTGAAAATGTATGTAGTATGATAGTGCAACACTGGATAATGTTTTGCTCTATTCTTAGTTTCCATCCAGATTTCTTTTATGGTTAAGATTCATAAAATAAATACTAGTTTACAAGATAACGGTGTATCCATTGCTATTTTAATTATGTCCAGTGTTTATGAATTTAAAACCTGTTTTGTGTTGTTTAAGTATTTCAAAAGGTGATTTTCTATTTAACGAATTTTCCATATAACGAACGTATCGGGATTTAGTGGCATCGTTAAATAGAGGCCCGGCTGCATTTCTTTATCGAAAGTTTCCAATAGGCAAAATTTGTAACACTCATTTAAGCTGTTTGAGCCATAACATACTCATTCTTGGAGTTCTAATTTGCCGCCGAAAGACACATTTTCTATGTTGATTTCTCGAATGCTTGTTGGCCAAATGCCTTCCATTTTGGCATAATAGATAATAACTGTATAGATAAGCAAAAAAAAAAATTCCTCAACAAATTTCAATTTTTTAAAAAATGTCAATTTTATCCTTCATCCTCTAAACTTTTACGTAATAGTAAATCGAAAATAACAAAATAATTATTCCATACTTATTAATATAA